TTGTTATGACAATTAAATTTTACAATGGCCATTACAGTAAGTCCTCAATAAATGTTGCCTGTTAATTTTTTTTCTTATGTTCAGCTCCTAAATAAAGCTTAATATGTAAAATCTAACATGAGTGTTTGAGAAAAGCAAAAGAACATGAACATAACAAATCTTCAAAACATGAGAACAGTTTTCACATATCCTCTAAACAACGTAGGAGTCTATCAGGTACAACGTTCTATTACTCTCCACAAATTACAATGAATTTAGTCAATGCCCTAACTTTATAATATCTTTACATACTTTTTATTCACTTACTCTACAATTTTTTCTCACTTACTCAACAAATATTTCTTGGTATTCTCAAGAAAGCTATTTAACCTCTCTAGCCTCAGTTTCCCTAACTGTATAATGAAGACAATAGCATCTACACCTCCTAGGAAGCATCTAGAACAGTGCTCAGCACAGAGAAAGTTCTAAGGAAGGACTAAGTAACTATACAGAACTGGTTCCCAGCACAGTGCTAGATATTGGAGATTCTGGGATAAATGACACAGTACTTGCCTACAAGTACTTGCTTTTGAACTGTGGTGTTGGAGAAGACTCTTGAGAGTCCCTTGGACTGCAATGAGATCCAACCAGTCCATCCTAAGGGAGATCAGTCCTGGGTGTTCATTGAAAGGACTAATGCTGAAGTTGAAACTCCAATACTTTGGCCACCTGATGCAAAGAGCTGACTCACTGGAAAAAACCCTGATGCTGGGAAAGATTGAGGGCAGGAGGAGAAGGGGACGATAGAGGATGAGATAGTTGGATGGCATCACCAACTCAATGGACATGGGTTTGGGTAGACTCCGGCAGTTGGTGATGGACAGGGAGACCTGGCATGCTGCAGTTCATGGGGTTGCAAAGAGTCAGACACGACTGAGAGACTGAACTGAACTTGCCTACAAAGCGGTCAAGACCAAATGGTATATACAATTATCTACACATAAGGAATCCTTGTATGTCAAGGCTGTATATTGTCACCCTGCTTATTTAACTTATATGCAGAATACATCATGAGAAACGCTGGGCTGGAAAAAGCACAAGCTGGAATCAAGATTTCCAGAAGAAATACCAATAACCTCCAATATGCAGATGACACCACCCTTATGGCAGAAAGTGAAGAAGAACTAAAAAGCCTCTTGATGAAAGTGAAAGAGGAGAGTGAAAAAGTTGGCTTAAAGCTCAACATTCAGAAAACTAAGATCATGGCATCCGGTCCCATCACTTCATGGCAAACAGATGGGGAAACAGTGGCTTACTTCATTTTTCTGGACTCCAAAATCACTGCAGATGGTGACTGCAGCCATGAAATTAAAACATGCTTACTCTTTGGAAGGAAAGTTATGACCAACCTAGACAGCATATTCAAAAGCAGAGACATTACTTTGCCAACAAAGGTCCATCTAGTCAACGGTATGGTTTTTCCAGTAGTCATGTATGGATGTGACAGTTGGACTGTAAAGAAAGCTGAGCACCAAAGAATTGATGCTTTTGAACTGAAGTGTAGGAAAAGACTCTTGAGAGTCCCTTGGATTGCAAGGAGATCCAACCAGTCCATCCTAAAGGAGATCAGTCCTGGGTGTTCATTGGAAGGACTGATGTTGAAGTTAAAACTCCAATACTTTGGTCACCTGATGCAAAGGGCTGACTCATTTGAAAAGACCCTGATGCTGGGAAAGATTGAGGGCAGGAAGAGAAGGGAACGAGAGGATGAGATGGTTGGATGGCATCACCAATGGACATTATTTGGGTAAACTCCAGGAGTTGGTGATGGACAAGGAGACCTGGCATGCTGCGGTTCATGGGGGTCGCAAAGAGTCGAACGCGACTGAGCAACTGAACTGAACTGAAGGAATCCTTGAACTTGAATTCACAGATAAATAAATTTTTCATAATAAAAATTAACATTTTTAAAAACCAAAATATTGCAAATTAGCATCCAGAATGGGTGATGGGTGCACTGGGGTTCAATGTATTATTCTTTTACTTTTGTGTATGTTGTAAATTTCACATAATGAGAAGTTGTTTTTAAAAATGATAAATCAGTTTCCATCTCAGAAGGTAAGCCAAAATTATGTGATTTGAAGTATTTACTTTAACACAGATGTCTTTTTTTTTTTTAATCTAGGCCTCAGAGGGGGCACCCGGATAACACAGATGTCTTTATACTACAAATGAACTCTGTCGACAGCAGTGCTTAAAATTCAGAGGTTAAGAATTCCCTTGACAAGACTGCCACCTACTGGATCACCTTAAATTCCACTATTCACATTTTGTTATTTAAACACAAATATAATCCAATAGAAAGCAAGGGTTTCTTTTTTTTAAAAAAGTGGGGGGGATTCAAGTATTTAAAAAACACCCCACATCATAAGAAATTCTGTCTGCTGTGTTGAACAAAGTATTGTTTGGGCAAGTCCCATTAGCCAGAAGCAATCTCAGTCAAGTTTAGTTTGGATGTTTAGAGGTCATCTGACAGAATGTATGAAAAAAGAAGCAAAAAAAACAACAAATTTGGTAATTATTGCTGAGTGTATGAACACATGGCTGTTAGATATTATCATTTACATTAATGATGTTAAAATAAAAGCAATATATTAAGTAGTTATATATTGAATGAATTTTTTTTAACTATTCTACTGTTATACAAACGGGTACATCTGGTTTAGGTAAAATTTCTAATGACAGCAATATATATGATTCAAAAAGTGCTTCATCTCAAACAACTTAGGCAGAAGTTGAGATACTATGCTCTGGAAAAATGTCTTGAAGCTACTCAAAAAGTAGCTAAGTAATGATGAAGGCATTAATGTCAAAGATTATTGAGGAGAGCCTGAATTAAGCTGTCTTATGAATACGAGAATATGGGCAAAGGCAACATTTCTAAGTAATTATTATATACAATATATTTTAAATGTATGTATAAATGTTTAAGTTAACAATCAAAACAGAAATAGGCATTCAACTATTTCACCTACATTCACCAAGGTTTCTGTACTCAAGTCAATCCATCTTGGAGCTTCTCCTTCGTAAAAGGAAGGACTGCTATATATACAAGCAGAGTACAGGCCTCTACAATACAGGCACAACATATCGTTTAATCATAAAACCTCAATATTTGTAACTACTATTTGTTTAAAGTTAAATTATTCAACACCTAACACTTCTTTGCCTATGTTATTCATATACTACAAACTGGTTAATGCCCTTTGTTATACCAAAGAGAAATGCCTTTTATTACACCAGAAGGGAAGTGCTCAGGGCATTTTTCAAGGACAAAGGGTTTGACTGGGCTCCTGGCAAATTCCGGGACAATTTGAGCACATAGATAATTAAACACTACAGTGAATCATGAACTATTTCAGGGGAGAGGGAATTCAAGAGTCAATATCAAAAACAAACAGTAAAAAATGGAAAAAAAGGGAGAGGTCTGGCTTACAGGAGAAATGTCAAGGGCTGCCTAGAGAAAATGCAGAAGATGGAAAATAACCACTTTACATTCATCATGATAAAGATTGGATCAGACAAGAATTATGAATGAAAGGTAAAGCAAAGAGAAAATTTTGATTTGATGAGAAGCAAAACCAAAGAGGAAATTTTTGATGAGAAGCAAGATATTTTCCTGGGTCTCCCAACAAACTGCTTACCAGTTACAAAGGAGGAGGGGCGGGGGGGAGAAAAAGGGAATTACAGTGAAGAAATCAGACATCTTGGCTGGAAATCAAAAATTAACATCACCAGAAAGGGACAGATGTTTATCAAGAGCCTCCACATGTGATACACTGTGAAGGAGGGAAATCTTCTATGCAGCAATAAATTATCTGCATCTAATCATGAGGAAATATTAGATAAATCCAAATTGAGCAAAGTCATATTAAAAAGAAGGAAAAGAGACATATTCTTCAATAATGTCCATGTTTTAAGACAAAGACTCTGGAAATCTTTCAAAATTAAAGAAACCTAAAGACGTATGGCAGCTAAACACAGTATCTGACCCTAATGTGAATCCCAAACTGGATGGGGGGGAAGGACATTATTGGGTTCACTGGCAAAATTAGAGACAAACAGTTGATTCGATAAAAAGTATTCTATGGAAAACAAGTTTACTAAAGACGATACATGTGATGTGGTTACATAAGAGATAGCCCTACCCATAGTTTTCCTAGGAAAGACACATTTCCTAAGGAAGTAGATAGGGGAAAAGCATCATGGTATATACAACTTACTCTTCAATTGTTCAGAAAAACAATCATGTTTTTTGGGGGTGTGTGTGTGTGTGTGTGTGTGTGTGTGTGTGTATGTGTGTGTGTCTAGGGAAGGAAAGATTGAGACATAGACTGAGAAAATGTTTGGAAAGCAAATGAGATAAAATATTATTAGTAGGTGATTCTGAATATACATATATTCTCTGTACTAGTTTTATTGTTTTAACTCTTCTGTAAGTTTGAAATTTCTTCCAAATAAAAAGTTTAAAACATTGCTATATCTACTGCTAACAAAAATTAAACAGAGAAATAAAAATATAAATGCATGCACACCCATGGGTATGTATGTATGCGTGTGTTTATATATTTAAAAGACAAATCTCTTAAAGATTCTAAAATCTCAGTAAATAAATGGACTTTTTAATAAACAAAAATGATTGAGAAGGGAAGGTGTCTGTCCTATATGTAAATAAGGAAGAGCAAGAAAAAGCCCAATTGGATTGAAACAGTTACTACTGAAAAAAATAAAGCATTTCATGTTTATTTACCCCATCAATTGAGACTTTCAATGAACCAGTTACATCTAACTTAAACATTTAAGTGGGGAAAACATTATTATTCTCATTCTCATTTTTAAATGGAGAAACTGAAACATGGTGTAAAGCCAGTCAGTAATGCAGCAGAGATTCAATAGTATGTCTCTTGAGACAGCAAATGTCAATACAAGTTTTTAATAGTATGTAGGAGCAAGCTGCTTACCTTTCAATAGCTAATTCTTTGTTAGAAAGTTGCTGCACTGTAATCACAACCTTCTTCTCTATTCCTTGTTTTAATTTGAAATAAAATTTATCTCGATCCTTAGGCACAGGACTGAAAAATGCAAAAAAGAACAGAAATGATCAATAATTAAAAACAATAAAAAGGTAATCTGTTTCAAGGTTAGAATGAAACAAAAGTATTTAACAACCTTATTAAGATATATCAAACTTTCACCTTAACACAAAGTAAAGACAAACTTCGGTTGTATCAGTTTCAGGTGTTCAGCAAGTTAATCAGTCATACATATACATATACCCACTCTTTCAGATTCTTTTCCCATATAGGTAGGTCATTACAGTACTGAGTAGAGTGCCTTGTGCTTGCTATACAGTAGGCTCTAATTAGCTGTTTTTTTAACATACAGCAGTGTGCATATGCCAACCCCAATTCTCCCAATTGATTCATCCACTCCCCCACTTCCCCCCTTGTAATCGTTAAGTTTGTTTTAAATCAAACCTTTTAAAATTACATCATTTCAAATTTTAGTTTTTAAATTTTAACAAATTTGGAAACATGGTTTATTTAATTTTAAGACTATTATATTTCTGGTTTAGCTGGTTATATGATTATGAATGCTTTTAACACAGTTAAACCCAAGGCAAAACAAGTGAGAAAAAGAGCTTACTTTTAAACATCCAGAATTAGAGATGACTGTGACAAATCCAAGAAAATATAAATAAAAGGTGAACAAAGAGGAACAGATCAAGGTAAGTTAAATTCTAGCCTAGGCCAGACTGACAATTCTTAAGAATCAGTCCATTAAAACAGTAAGTGTTTAAAATATAAGCTGTCTTACCTGAAAAGGAAAAATACTTTCAGTAACTTACTTGACCTAAGTCTCAATTTCTATAACTTAAAAAAAGTGATAAAATACCTATCTAATAATTATTGTCAGAAACAAAGGCAAAGTAAAGGCACATAGGTGAGCAATAAGAGTGTAACTGTTTATTATTTATCTGCCTATTTTTGAACCAAAGAACAACATTCCAAATATACAACAGAAGGAAACAGTTAATTAAATGATGGTCAAATCATACAAAATACTACTGACAACTATTAAAAACAATTCTAATTAAAAATATTTTAGGGACTTCCCTGGTGGTTCAGTGGTTAAAAACCCACCTTGCAATACAGGGAACACGAGTTTGATCCCTAATCTGGGAATTAGGACCCCACATGCCATGGAGCAATTAAACCTGCAGGCCACAACTAGAGAGCAGACATACAGCAACTACTGAGCCCAGAACACAAGATCCCACATGATGCAACCAAATACGGGAAAATCCTTACATCATGAAGTTAAAAGGAAAAAACTGCATATATATACATATATATAACTGTATAAAATACACTCTGGAGGTGGAGGGGGAGGGATAGTAGGGATTGACATGTACATACTGCTATGTTTAAAATAACCAACAAGGACCTACTGTATAGCACAAGGAACACTGCTCATTATTCTGTAAAAATCTAAATGGAAAAAGAATTTGAAAAAGAATAGAGACTTGCATACAGATAACTGAATCACTTAGCTATACACCTGAAACTATTACAGCATTGTTAATCAACTGTACTCCAATATAAAATAAGAAGTTTAAAAAGTACACCCTAGTATCAAATATTTTTTATAAAATAACTTTAAAATTTTAATACTAAAATTATTTTTAATAATTAAAGTGATATGGCTGACAATACCATAAAAATTTATTCTAATTTTACTTTTACTAATTTTTCTATAGTAAGTATATCAGTATTTTAAAATATCAAGGAAATAATTTACATAAACTATCTGAAACGCCTGACGAAAGTGAACCATGCATCCACCAATGAAGTTTTTCTGTATCATCCTAAAGCTTTATAACAACAGTGTACAGTTTCTGCAACCTATATATTAGTCAATGTTACATTTCAGACACAATACTAATTTTTATTTTTTCCAAATAATCTCACCTAAAGTTTCCTTTTCCATCATCTTCTTTTACCTCCAAGGAGACACTGAAGGTAAACACATCACTGTCAGGGGTAGGAATAACTGAGTCTTTAACATCAGATACTTGTCTAGAAGAACGTTTGAAAGCTGTACAGAAACTATATAAAATTCTGCTTACCTAAAAGAATAAAAGTGGAAATAATATTAGACAAGATTTTAACTGCATTTTGATCACCTCTAATTCTTGAATCTGTAATTTCCCAAGGTCACAATGTTCTTAATAGACAAAGTAGATATAGGGTAAGCATATATATATATATATATATATATATAGAGAGAGAGAGAGAGAGAGAGAGTTTGTAACATATAGTGTATACACACACGCAGTTGACCCTTGAACCACAAGGGTTTAAAGTGCCTAGGTCTACTTAAAATACTTAGTACAGTACTACTAAATACTACAGTAACTACATGACCCACAGTTGGCTGCATCAGCAGATGTGGAACAGTAGATAAGGAGGAACCACTAAAATGGAGGGCCAACTATAAACTACACATGAATTTTTGACTGGGCAGAAGGTCAGTGCCCCTAACACACTCCACCTCCCCAGCACACTGTTCAAGGGTCAACTGCAGTTTGTTTCTTTTAATCTGGCATTTAATAAACAGCATAATAAAGATGTTTAAAGTCACAGAAGAAGTTGCATGTACTTATAGATGTTTCTAGGACTCATAAGATACTATATTGCAAAGAATGAATCCAAAGACAATTATTAGAATGAGGCTGGCATCTAAATCTTCCCAGTGAACACACACAAATGAGGTTTTAGCCCAAGTTGTCAAATTTCTCTCTTCACTTCCCTCAGCTTCAGAGGGCTAGATACTGAGCCAGACAATAAATTTTGTTCTTTGCAAAATGAAACAAAACATGGCAACATGATTTAAAGAGCTTCCAGTGTTGATCCCCAATGCTGTTGCTATATAAATGTGTAGCAAAATGAATGAATCTGAAACATTTTTATTTATTAGTATTAGGCCACCCTGGTGATTACCTGATATATACATCTGCTTATATATATTATAAATGACTTACTCTCCTCCCCTAATATGGAGGAGCACTCTAAATCTAACAATCTTCCAGAGGTTATTATCTTCCTTGGTTCCAAAAAAAGTAACATATCATCTCAAATTTGCATTCTTGAAGCACAAAAGACCTTTCAAATCTCTCAGGTCACCCACGCATTGAACAAATAAAAACAAGATGAAATAAGAATGATTTAAACAAAAGTCATATTTTCAAAATCTCACACTGGAAGGTACTACTAGTAAAGAGACTTCTATGAATATTAACAAATCCTTCACTTTAGATAAAGTGTATTCAAATTATTCTTGGTATTAGTCTAAGATTATAATATTTTATAATTCAAAGTAAGAGCACTCCCATTAACAGAACTTCTTAAAGTATGGAGGTCTTTCCTCAATTTTCTATTTTTGCTACATTCACATATCCTACCTTTTGTCATATACACACTCCATCACAAACTTCAAAAACTTCCAGTAGCCACACTTAACACCTAAGTACTGAATTTGGCCTTTCCAGGGCCAAATCAATAGTTATCTAAATTAACTGACTTATACATTTTTAACTGTATAACAATGCTGCCTGTCATCCCGAAGTTCAGCTTCAGCAACAGCATCATATTTGTATCACACTGCTTGTAAAATGTTAATGCTATTATAATTTGATATACAAAGTAAAAATAAAGCAACAAAGGACTGATATTAATAAAAATTTTATACTTCAAATCTTATACAATTAAGCCAATGATAAATCCACTCATTCATGCAACAAATATTCTTTTAGTTCTTCTGTGTATTAAGTATTTGTTTTAGGGGCAAGGGATACAATAATGAACATGGAGTTTAAGTTTCAGCACAAGTTAAGTTGAATGTGCTTGGGGTGAGTGGCAAGGAATCATTAGGTAACACAAAAGCAGATATGTTCAGTCTCAACTGGATCCTTAATTCACTTAGCACAATAATTTAAGTGTTAACGACAACAGAATCAAAGAACATGCTGGAAATAAGTCACTGAAGAGTATGCCTACAAGGTAAAGTGTAATTAAAACTTTTTGAGTTGAGTACTCCCCACTTCCTAACTTCAAATACAATGTGAAGTCTATTATTTACTTTATATATTTTTAAGAAAACAAAGAAAATTTTAAGCATATTTTTAAGAAAACATTTTATGTGAAAACAGAATACCTATAATTTATGATACATTAGTAGAGTTAAACCCTAACCCTATTTATTATTCTCTCCTATAGTCATTTCATCTTCTTTGTATCAGAGCTATCAGCAAGCCTGCCATTTGAGTCCACACCAAAAATAAGTCAAAGAACTTGGCGAATTCTAAAGCATGGGCAAGGGTCAGGAATTTCCTTTTCAAAAAGCTAAGTATATGGGGATGAGCCAGAGTAGCAGAGGATGATGGGAGTAGAGGGAGTGGAATAAGACTACAGCTTCCTGTTTTTGGAGGAAGGACTCAGCAGTACATTAACAACAATTTAATCCACTCCTGCATTTAATCCTGACTATGTCTTAGAAGTTGCTATTCCCAACAAGGTTAAAATCATTTGTGACTTCTAGAGTCTGTAAATAAGCTGGAATGATGATCCAAGAATGGGTAAGGTAGAGTGGCTTAAAAGACAATGATTATCAGTAATAGTTATTGGAACAAATTAGATAACTGATTTCATCATGAAAAGAAAATTTAAGACAGAATACCATGAAAAATATTCTATACACATCACACCATTAAATACACACACACACACAAAATCTAGAACAGGCATTTTCTTTGTAGATGTCAAAAGGTTTATTAACAAATAATACAGTACAATTTTTCCCCAGGAGGCAGTACCTGTAGAAAGCACTAGTTAAACACAAAACTATCTCTTGGGGTGGTGGCTGTTGTTTTTGAAGAGTTGGGGAAAAGGGCACAGGTAGATGCGTGGAAAGGAGATACACCAAAATCTTAATTCTGGTGGAATTCTGAGTAACCTTTCTTTGGTATTTCAGTAGCTTCCAAATTTTCAAATATGTAGAACATGTTAACAGTCCAAGAAATACTATTAAACAAAATATTTACTTAAATAACATAGCTAATTCTTCTAAAATAAAGCCTTTTCACTAATAATGGTGAAAGAGAATCACCTCTTTTAAAAACAAGTATCAAGAAAATGTTCATCCAAAAAATAAATGTAGAAAAGTCATCCCATAAAAGAATACCCAGAAAGGTATGTGTTAAAATTTTTAAAAACTTGCTCAAATATACTACTGAAAGCAACAACAAAAAGGCATTATCAAACAAGAAATTTTTTAATAATAAAAATCAACTTATATAAGAAAAACACTAACAATATAACTTGCCAACTAATTTCCAAAATAAGGCATTTTGCTAAAATACCATCTCAATAAATGTATGTTTAGAAACAGTATTTTCCCAAAGAATTATGTTTTCTTTTATGTAGTGGTGTATCAGCAATCCCAAGAAAAACCAGAGCATTAAGAATAAAGATCTTCTTAATGATATTCTTGGTATTTATCATAAAATACGGCCAAATGCCTTTAACAGATGATAACAACCTGCTTCTAAAAAACAACACTAAGAACTGCTAGTAATAGTAAGTATAACATACAAACAGAAAAATCTGTTTTGAAGGAAATAGTTACACTGACTAGTAGAAATAAATTCTTAAAAGAGTCAATAAGACTTTTAAATGTATCTTTAAAAACAGCTTTGTATAATATATCCACAAAGATTCAACAAGAATAAGTGCCCCATGGCTCTTTTCACTATGCTTTCTGATATTATGCTTTGTTTGCAATTCTTCACCAGAATGTTCCCTGTACAAAGATCATCAGCATTAAGATACTTCTGGCTGGATTCCCCAGCTCTTTTGCCATAGACAATTAACATCCACTCCAGCAGAGTCCCTCAGAAGAATGTCCAGAATAACAGATCAAATATGTCCTAACCCTTCTGTGGGAACCCCTAATCCTCACGTCATAGGTCCAACAAAGCCATCACCCACACTGAGCCTCCCCTCTACCACGGCTGGTATCTGCTGCTTGTGGAATTTTATGGTGAAATAAGAGCATATCACAGTGACAAATGGTAGTGGCAGCCATGCTGCAACTTTCTGTTTAGAAGTTGTCTTCTTGCTTTTAACTGACAAACTTCTTCAAATCTCATCCAGGGACTCTGCAAACAATGGAAAACAAATTAGCGACATTGTGCACCGTACATATTTAAGCAGTAAGAACATCTGTCGTCTGTTCCAGAGCTATCTTTGCCAAATGTCTGTGCCCATTAAGAGGGGCCCATATACTAAGAACTAATGCTGTCCCTTCACCATAGAACAAGAAACTTCTGGGAATCAGATAACCAGACAACCAGTAAATGCAACAAAAGGCAAGTCATTATTTTTTGAGAGGAGAGAGGAAGATATTAGACACCTTCTAAAGGCATGAGTAAAACCTAAAGGTTGCTAGAATGACCAAGATATCCCTTTATAAAGCATAACTAAAAGGTAAAAATCTACATTTACTTTTTATAATAAAGTAACAGGAAATTTGTTACTGAAAAATACATGGGTCTTCAGAATCATATACTTCGTCTGAAAACCAGCTTTATTATCTATTCTCTTAGACCTGGGATACGGAAATGGTACCCAATTTATCACCCAAACCAGAACACTTTTGAGGATAAAATGGAGGCTTTAATAATATACTTAGACAACAGGCATAATCTATGACTGCTCCAGGCAAAGAGAAGCATAAGATCACTAGTCTAAACAAATACTATCTCTGTTATGGAGATGTTATGAGTATCAAGTAAGTATTTAACACAGTGCCTGGCATAAGCCCTATGTCTATACTGGGTTATCTGTATTTAGAAATGATCGCTTATAATAAAGTGGAATGACAACTGTCAAGTATTTTTCCTCCAAACAATTTTACCACCAATGTCCCAGAATGTAACTCTTGAAAAATTTACTCAAAAAAAACTAAATACATGAGCATCACTTTCTCACAATCTACATGTACCAAACACTCTCTCTAGAAATATACTACTTAATACTATACCCAAAATAGGCCAAAAAAACCCCCCCTCATTTTATCCACTGCTTACCCACTGTTAAAGCTCTCAAAATGACAAATACGCCCCTCATACACAAGTGGATGCTATAATCCAAAAAGAGAGTTTCATACCATCAGTTATGAAAAATGCTTGCAACCAGGTGCCTTTCAATTTCCTTCCACAGCAGTGTTTCTGCCTCTCCAAGAAGCAGGTTCTCCAGTTCTTCAAAGTTCATTTTTTTACTGTTGAGTGCCAATTATCCAGAATCCACACAGGCATGTTAAATGATGGTTGCCAACATGAAATGCCAGGATTCTACCATCTGCTTCCCCACCTCTGTAGTGGAGTTGTAAGGATCAGAAATAGACCCCCTAATTCACAAACACACACACATTCTTTCAACATATTTATATTCACTGTCTCCTATGTACCAGACACACTTGTACTCATTCACTCTATCACACACTTGGTCAAGCAGTCAGTACACACATATCTGTATACATACTGGTATATGTATTGATATATGTATGTGTGTGTGTGTGTGTGTGTGTGTATATATATATATAACATATGCATATATATATATACATGCAGCATACACATATGGATAAAACAGAACTATTTTAGATAGATTCAGAACTACCTAAAACAAACAAACAAAACAAATCTGAACTCCTTACATGGGCACAGTTCCGACAGAGAACTTCCATGTCTGTACACGTTTGTTTTAGTGTAAATAAAATCGATCACCCGGGCATAACAACTGACATACTGCTCATGCTTAGTATCAAACACACAAAAATACACATTTCTATGAATTCCCATGTTGTGGCCAGAAACAAACTCTCAGAACTCCTGTCGATACAATGGTTTATTTACATTTCACAGTAAAGAGAAAACAGAGTAACTGCTGCTTTTAGCATTTTCTGCTGACAATCTATATTTCCAAAAGCAAACACACCTGAGATTTGCCCATCCAAACCCACTTATTAATTCCTCTGAAATGGCTGTATAATTACCAGAGTTCTAAAAGTGCAACTTATTTTTAATTTGAGAAGAATTCAATAGATACCAAAAAGAAAGCAATTTCCCCAACAGCCATTTGACTCTGAGTCTAAAAATAAACATTTAATCATTAGTGTGAGGAACTCACTGGCATCTTCAAAGTACTATAAGTGGACAATTCTGCTGAATGGGAGCATTTGCATTTACAATTAAAACCAGTTTTATAGAAGAAAAGCCAGCCTCTGAACAAATGCACATAATAAATGATCACAAGTGACAACCGCAGAGATCTATAACACAATCTCAGTGCAGTCTCTAAGTGGAAGGCTCAGTAGAGAGACAGGTATTATTATAGACATTTTTTAAAGTCACAGAGAACAACCAACTTGGGCAAAACAATAAAAGAGGTGCAAAAATACTCTTCGTTTCTAAGCCTGAGCAATCATCACCATGGCGGGATGGGAGGACAGCTCATCAAGTGGGATTTTTCTCTTACAGATGTTAAACTGAGAGTACCACTTCAGAGCACAGAGTAACCAGATTTAAATTTCCGTATTTCATTCTATGCCATCACAAATATTAACTTTCTATTTAGAAAGATACTCCAAACTTATTATGTAATATGGTATATGGTCACACATACTAAATTATTTGACAGTGAAATCAAATAGTTGATTTGATTTCAACTATACTTGACTCAAATCAAATATTGAGTCATCTCAATAGCAAATTGCTACAAAATATTATACTTACTGCTTCTTTAATTTCACAGGAGAAGACATGTATCTGGAATTCTTCCGAACCATGGGAACTCTCTGTAAATGCAAAGCAATTGCTCTCTGTTGTCCCATCATGGCCACGTGCACAGAACAATACCTTATAAATTGGAAAAGATGCTATCTCCATATTGTTGGATTGGTCTATGATTCTGCAAAACAGTTATGAAAAATGAGATTAAATATTAACTATCAAAGAACAAAGGCAGTTTTACTAGGCCAGTAACATACAATTTTCTTAAAATCACAAAACTAAACTGGTACTAATAATCATCCAAGAAAACAAATTATCTTCATATTTTTATTATACACACACACATAAATTCTTTACTTTCTTTTCACAATTACTTCACTTTTGTGTCCTATGATCCAATTCACTTCATCTCAAAGCCAAGAATACACTGCCTGATAAAATCAATGCCGCCCATCTCTAAATACTAGACTTGTTCTGTTATGGTAAAAGAAACACCCAGAAAAAAAACAGAACAAACCATCCCTGGAGAGCTCATTTCTATTTAAAGCAACACCTGTAAGTTTATCTAAGTCCCAGGTCATTCACTGTTCAACAAAGACCTCTCTTACCATAAAAAAGGTCAGAGTGGTTCCATAGATGAACTTAATGAAATTTAATAGGTAAAAGGAGTTTGTGGAATTTTTCAAATATTTCTCTGACTTTCCCTGTATAAATCCTAAGATTCTGGATTGATCCAAAACCTCAAGACTACTTGAGGATATCAAGGGGTGAAACTAAGGGGTACCCATTAGGAATAGAGAGGCAAATCAAAACACTAAGTCTTTGTTAAGGCATGTTTGGCACTGTGATATTTAACAGATAACAGTGAAAGGTATTTTGACACTTATAAGCGATACTGTACAAACAGTCCATCTACAAAACCCTTTCCTGAAAAATCAAAGCATTTTTACCAAAATCTTGTAAATTTGTATTGCTACTATTTTGGTACTTGGTGCTTTTCCCACATTTTAAACGTCAGAGAATGAGGCAAATCAGAAAGATTTTGAAAAAGATTTAAATCAGCCTTCAGAGAATAGTACAGGCCAACACTTTGGCTACCTGATGCAAAGAACTGACTCATTTGAAGAGACCCTGATGCGGGGAATGATTGAAGGAGGGAGGAGAAAGGGACGACAGAGGATGAGATGGTTGGACGGCATCACTGACGCAATGGACATGAGTCTGAGTAAGCTCCAGGAGTTCGTGATGGACAGGGAAGCCTGGCGTACTGCAGTCCATGGGGTCACAAAGAGTCAGACACAACTGCGTGACTGAAATGAACTGAAGACACATTTGACTTAATCTCCTAGACTTGGTTCACTTATGGGTTCATTCAGCAAATATTTACTAAAAACCTGCTATGGACCAAAACTGCTCCAGACAATGAAACTGCAGCAGGAAGAAATACCAATAACCTGCTTCCACAGAATTTACATTCTAGCGAGGAAGAGAAACAATAAACAAACAAACAAAGATGTAATATCAAGGCAAAGAAAGGTTCTTTGAAGGAAAAAAGGCCCAGTGAAAGCAAAGAACTATGGTTATGATATGATCAAAGGAGGTTTATTTTGATAGTTTGACAATTTCTTACAAAACTAAGCATACTGTATGATCTATCAATTACATTCCTTGGTATTATTCAAATGAGTTAAAACCCTGGACAAAGATGTTTACAGAAGCTTTATCCATAATCACCAAAACTTGGATGCAATCGCAACATCCTTCCATAGGCCAATGGATAAATAAATTGTGGTACACCCAGACGATAGCACATTATTCAGCACTAAAAAGAAATGAGCTACCAAGCCACAAAAATTCATGTAAGAAAGTTAAATGTCTACTATTAAGTAAAAGAGGCCAACCTGAAAAGGCTATTTATTACATGATTTCAACTATATAATTTACTGGAAAATGCAAAAGCTATGGTGACAGCAAAAAGATGAGCGGTTGCCAGGGGCTGCAGGAAAGGACAGATGAACTGGCAGAAGGCAGGATTTTCAGGACAGGGAAAGCACTCTACATGACACTCTAACTCTGGATACATGTCATTATATATTTGTCCAAACTCACAGCATGTACACCACCAAGAGGGAACCCTAATGTAAACTATGGACTTTCTAAAATACGTCAGTGTAGTTTCATTGGCTGTAACAGATGTACCACATGGAAGAGGACGTTGATGGTGAGGGAAGTGTGTGTTTGGGGGAGGTGGGGGTGCCTATCCGGGATATGGGCTATCTCTGTACCTTCTGCTCAATTTTGCTGTGAACCTAAAATCACTCTCAAAAGTAAACTCTATTAAGAAAAACAGGGAGAAAAAAAAGACTTCTTTCAATAAAAGGTTTCTTGAGGTGAAACTGGAGAGAAGTGAAAGAGTCACTGGAAAACCAAGGAAAGCCTGTTTGGGCAAAGTAGAGACCACACAAAAGCCCCAAGGGAGGACTCCTGACTACCTGTGAGAAAGGACAGAGAGGCTACTGTGAGAGGAACAGAGCGAATGAATGAAGCACACGTAGTGACAGAAGTGAGAGAACAGAGAGGGCGGGGGAGATGATCGGGTCAAAGCAGATCATAAGGGCCAGACACGATAAGAGAGAACTTCAAAAATAATCACAAGTGTGACTGGAGGCCACTGATAGGCTGAATGTAGGAAAGTAACAGTATCTGATTTACAGTTAAAGAAACCCAAGTTTCAACATATAGCTGATTCACTTCGCTGTTCAGCAGAAAACAAACACAACACTGCAAAGCAATTATACTCCAGTAAAAATAATAAATAAAGTGTTAGTTGTTGAGTCGTGTCCACCTCTTCTGCAAGCCCAAGGACTGGAGCCTGTTAGGCTCCTCTGTCCGTGGAACTCTCTAGGCAAGAATACTGGAGTGGGCAGCCATTCCTTTCTCCAAGGGATATCTTTCCAACCCAGCGATCAAACGTGGATCTCCTGCATTGCAGGCAGATTCTTTACTGTCTGAGCCACCAGGGGAGCCCAAATAAAATAAATGGGTTGTATTTACATATCCACAGAGCACAACACACCACATATGCTGGCCGTAACTCTCTCCAACTAATAATGTGATGAATTCATTCCAGATACTATGCAAAACAAATAAATACAGCCAGGCCAAAAAAAGAAAAAAGAAATTCAAGATTCAGATGACATTAAAAATTATTCCCAGCAAAGCATATGAGAAAAAGCTATTTTGCTTCTTTCCAGTCTGATGTGAAGAGCTTAAAATCTAGGGAACAGTCATTTTCTGAATCACTGTTAAATGACAAGGTGAAACACAAATCATAGGTATTTTTAGTTATAGGTACATTTATAGTATTCCAAGCAAATTTTACAAATGCCCCAAGCAAATAAGGAATACAGTCTAAACCAAAATATGTTCGCCTTGCACAGCTACAGAGTAAAAGTGAATCCAGAGTAAGTCCAAGGTCTCATTCATGATAAAATATTATCGCCACTATCCAAAAATAACTTCATACGTGTCTAAGGATGGTAAAAAAAGATTAGCGCTTACCTCACAGAACCTTCCGGAACATTTGGCACATACAGAGTAACAGGAAAGGGGTGCTGACTGGAAGACTTCATAGTTGCCATTGCCCGTAAAGCTTCCACTTCATTACGTGGGGAAGAAACCTTCATCCATCCTAAATAGGTCAGTTTGTTAAACAAAACACTATCCTCTTCAGGTATCTCACTTGGAGAAGATGGTCTGGGTGCAGAAATTTCTGAGGAAAGAAGAAAAAAGAAACACTCAAAAGTTAATGTAGAATTTCCCAATATAATTTCATCTATTGCCCAAAAACGAATGAAAACATTGCAAATAAAATTAATCTCCAAAATTTACAAGCAGTTCGTGTAGCTCAATACAAGAAAAACAAACAACCCAATCAAAAAGTGGGCAAAAGACCTAAACAGACATTTCTCCAAAGACGACATACAGATGGCTAACAAACACATGAAAAGATGCTCGACAGCACTCATTATTAGAGAAATGCAAATCAAAACCACAATGAGGTACCATTACACACCAGTCAGGATGGCTGCTATCCAAAAGTCTACAAGCAATAAATGCTGGAGAGGGTGTGGAGAAAAAGGAACCCTCTTACACTGTTGGTGGGAATGTAAATTAGTACAGCCACTATGGAAAACAGTGTGGAGATTTCTTAAAAAGCTGGAAATAGAACTGCCATATGACCCAGCAATCCCACTTCTGGGCATACACACTGAGGATACCAGATCTGAAAGAGACACATGCATCCCAATGTTCATCGCAGCACTGTTTATAATAGCCAGGACATGGATGCAACCTAGATGCCCATCAGCAGACAAATGGATGAGGAAGCTGTGGTACATATACACCATGGAATATTACTCAGCCATTAAAAAGAATTCATTTGAATCAGTTCTAATGAGATGGATGAAACTGGAGCCCATTATACAGAGCAAAGTAAGCCAGAAAGATAAAGACCATTACAGTATACTAACACATATATATGGAATTTAGAAAGATGGTAACGATAACCCTATGTGCAAAACAGAAAAAGAGACTCAGATGTATAGAACAGACTTGTGGACTCTGGGAGAAGGCGAGGGTGGGATGTTTCAAGAGAACAGCATCAAAACATGTATATTATCTAGGGTGAAACAGATCACCAGCCCAGGTTGGGTGCATGAGACAAGTGCTTGGGCCTGGTGCACTGGGAAGACTCAGAGGGATCGGGTGGAGAGGGAGGTGGGAGGGGGGACCGGGATGGGGAATACATGTAAATCCATGGCTAATTCATTTCAATGTATGACAAAAACCACTGCAATGATGTAAAGTAATTAGCCTCCAACTAATAAAAATAAATGGAAAAAATAATAATAATAAAAAAAATAAAAATTTTAAAAAAAAAACCACAATGAGGTACCATCTCATGCCAGTCAGAATAGCCACCATCAAAAAGTCTGCAAACAATAAATGCTGGAGAGAGTGTGGAGAAAAGCGTGGGAATGGTAGAGCCATTATGGAGAACAATGTAGAGATTCCTTAAAAAAACTGGGAATAGAATTGCTATATGACCCAGCAATCCCACTGCTGGGCATACACACCAAGGAAACCAGAACTGAAAGAGACAGATGTACCCCAATGGTCACTGCAGCACTGTTTACAATAGCTAGGACAAGGAAGTAACAAAGATGTCCATCAGCAGACAAATGGATAAGGAAGTTGTGGTACATATACACAATAGGGTACTACTCTGCTATAAAAAAAGAACACATTTGAGCCAGTTCTAATGAGGTGGATGAAACTGGAGCCTATTATACAGAGTGAAATAAGTCAGAAAGAGAAACACAAACACTGTATATTAACACAGATAAATGGAATTTAGAAAGACAGTAATGACCCTACATGCAAGGCAGCAAAAGAGACACAGATGTAAAGAACAGACTTTTGGATTCTGTGGGAGAAGGCGAGGGTGGGATGATTTCAGAGAATAGCATTGAAACATGTACATTACCATATGTAAAACAGATGACCAGTACAAGTTCGATGCATGAAGCAGGGCACTCAAAGCCAGTACTCTGGGACAACCCACAGGGATGAGTGGGGAGGGAGATGGGAGGAGTGTTCAGGATGGGGGACACATGTGCACCAGTGGCTGATTAATGTCAATGTATGGCAAAAAACCATCACAAAATTGTAAGGTAACTGTCCTCCAATTAAAATACACTAATTCAGTTCACTTCAGTTCAGTCACTCAGTCGTGTCCAACTCTTTGTGACCCCATGAACCGCAGCATGCCAGGCCTCCCTGTCCATCACCAACTCCCAGAGTCCACCCAAACTCATGTCCATTGAGCTGGTGATGCCATCCAATCATCTCGTCCTCTGTCGTCCCCTTCTCTTCCTGCCCTCAATCCTTCCCAGCATCAGGGTCTTTTCCAATGAGTCAGCTCTTTGCATCAGGTGGCCAAAGTACTGGAGTTTCAGCTTCAACATCAGTCCTTCCAAAGAACACTCAGGACTGATCTCCATTAGGATGGACACCACAGTTCAAAAGCATCAATTCTTCAGCACTCAGCTTTCTTTATAGTCCAATTCTCACATCCATACATGACTACTGGAAAAACCATAGCCTTGACTAGACAGACCTCTGTTGACAAAGTAATGTCTCTGCTTTTGAATATGCTGTCTAGGTTGGTCATAACTTTCCTTCTAAGGAGTAAGCGTCTTTTAATTTCACAGCTGCAATCACCATCTGCAGTGATTTTGGAGCCCAGAAAAATAAAGTCAGCCATTGTTTCCGCTGTTTCCCCATCTATTTGCCATGAAGTGATGGGACCGAATGTCATGATCTTAGTTTTCTGAATGTTGAAGCTTTAAGCCAACTTTTTCACTCTCCTCTTCAGTTTCATCAAGAGGCTTTTTAGTTCTTCTTCACTTTCTGCCATATCTGCATATCTGAGATTACTGATACTTCTCCTGGCAATCTTGATTCCAGCTTGTGCTTTTTCCAGCCCAGCGTTTCTCATGGTATACTCTGCATATAAGTTAAATAAGCGGGATGACAATATACAGCCTTGACGGACTCCTTTTCCTATTTGGAACCAGTCTGTTGTTCCATGTTCAGTTCTAACTGTTGCTTCCTGACCTGCATACAGGTTTCTCAAGAGGCAGGTCAGGTGGTCTGGTATTCCCATCTCTTGAAGAGTTTTCCACAGTTTATTGTGATCCACACAGTCAAAGGCTTTGACATAGTCAATAAAGCAGAAGTAGATGTTTTTCTGGAACTCTCTTGCTTTTTCAATGATCCAGTGAATGTTTTCAAATTTAAAAAAATTTAGGCCTCTCTGTGTTTTCATTTATTTTAATGTTTATCCTATATCTTATGAGTTCTGGAATTGGCCATTTTGTACTTCAAATCTCTCAAAGTATTATCTTACTTATCTATAACTTCTTTAAAGGAAAAGAAAAAAATCTCAACTTTGTATTTTAAAAAGTCAAAAATACAGAGTTCAAATGATATAAAACATTGAGGAGAAAAAAATATACTAAAAACAGTGTAAATGTGCCAAAAAATAATGAAAATAACATTACATTTATTAAGCAGCCTAATTTCCTAAGCAAAAGTCAACAATGTTAAGATATTCCATCTCACATTATTATCAACAAAAGTCAAACTCCTTATTTTGTTCCATCCTGGCTTGCTGGCTTCTACAAACTATGTAAGCATCCCAATGAAAATTTTTTCCTCAAAGTAATTATTTTGATGAATTATCCTATGAATGCTCCAATTCTTTTTTTTAAAAATCCACTTTAATTCTAGCAAAGCATGCACGTAGCAAAGTCCCAACTGTGGTTAGAGAGCATTCATCTGCATATATCAGGTAGTGTAAAGCTTCCCCTCCACACTATTCCCATCCACACCTAAAATTCCCATTCAGCTAGTCTCCAACTCTTCCTGTTACCCATATCCATGCTATACAAAATTAAGCATGCCTGTCTCACCCAAACTAGATCCTTGTGGCACGGTCTAACTCTCATTAGCAGGATTATACTTACAGGATATTAATATGTAATTCACAAAAGCCATTTTCAACCTCCCCACCACAGTTTTCAAATATTTCAAAAATTAAATCATGCACCCTTCACCACTTTTTTTTCTATTGAAAAACTAAAGTCATTCAAAATGAAGTATTTCATCTACCATGTTCTTCAATCACTGAAGCATGTTTCTCCCTACTTTGAATCCGTTCAGTGTACTGTATTTCAAAAGAGACAAAAAACTACAAATACAATATAAAAAGAAAGAAAGAAAAAACTACAAATACACTTTAAGGCTGAATGTTAATGTTATGTGTGTGTGTGCAGAATGAATTTTGTTAACTGAGCAAGTACTTATGCAAAAACAATTACGTGCAAGAGCCACTGGTAAAACTATGCTTCAGTGACTGATGAACATGGTAGATCAAGTAGTTAAAATGGTCTAACTTATGTGTAACTGGAGTCCTACAAAAGAGGGAAGGTGCAGGAAAAGCTTTCTAAAGAAATTAATATTTTATAAAATCTGTGTAATGCACACATTCATGAAACTCTGTAGACTCCAAATACAAAAGCAATACACAAATCGATCCAAAAACGACAGATGACAAAACTGGTAGACAAGACCTTTTAAAATAACTATTATAAATATGGTAGAGAAATTAAAGAAAAACACCTAACAAAAGAAGGAGAAAAACGGAAGACAGAAAAAAAGAACCAAAAGAAATTCTAAAGCCAAAAAATGCAAGAGCTGAAATGAAGTATTCTCTTGGTGGATATAACAACTAATTCTAATTTGCATAAGAAAATAAGAATGTTAGAGAAGTTCCTTATATTATAAAGAACATAATAAGAATGTTAAAGAAAAACGAAACTAGAGGGAAACTGAAGAGCACCAAAAGTCATAAATACGACTTTTTCCTTACTGTTTAACTTCTTTAAAATACAACAGACTGCTGATTATATCCATTTGGAAATCTTATAAGTTAGTATGTCTAAAATTGAATTCATTAGACATCTATTCAACTATTCATATCCTGAATAACTCTTGAATCCATCCTACTTTTCTTTGGCTCCATACTCATTACCCAAATTACTACAGCAGTAACTTTCAGTTCTTCTTTCCTCCAATTTATTACCTACACTTCAGCCACCAAGATTTCCATAAAGATGAAAGAAAGAGAGAGGAAGGAAGAAAAGG